AATTCAAACCCTAATTTTATTTCTGTGTTTCTCGACGTCCCATACCGCCCTACCCCTATTTATTTCTCATTTTTGTTGCTGCCTGCTACCAATTCATAAAGGTTCGTTTCCCGATCCAAACTATTTCCTTAAAATGCTTGTTTCCAAAATGATTATTTCTCAAAAGAGCTGTGAGTCTCCTCTCTCAGATTCCTCAAATACAGTCAATTAATGAAGCAACTTATCTAGTACCCTTCGAATTTACTTTTTGAATTTAGCTTATTTTTCAATTTCAGTTTTTTGATCGCTTGGAACCATTGAATTATTGGTTAATTTTATAGGCTCTCAAATGTTATTTTTGTTCCCTAAATAGTTAAGGGCGACTTGTTATTAGCTATCAAAGGTATCCCATCATGTATTTCTATTTGCTCACACTGTTGTGAAAAACTGTGGGTCACCTTCTTTCTTCACTTTTCTTCTTCTTTCTATTGTTGTTTGAATGAAATCGAGCTTTTCCTAATATGTTTATGCGCATCGTTTGATTTAACATGAAACGTGCTGCACTTTTTTAGTAATTACGAGCAGGATTTTATTCAGGTTTAGCAAAGTGTTTTGACTTTCGATTAGTAGCAACATGTGCTAATATACTATCGGTGGAGGTTGCAACTTGCAACAAATCTTAATTTGCTTTCAGTTTAACTAATTGTATTAGAAATATTTTATATTACAATTTTGTAATATATTTTATTGCTTGTTTACAGAATATGTCATCTTTTGATGAGAATGGAGATTTTAATTCCGTATTTGTTGACTCGATGATGGAATCTGATGAGGAGGGAAGACAAAATTCAGCAGCAAAAAAAGCTTCTCTCGATAAAAATACCGGAAATAGGAAGAGAAAGTCCAAGTGGTGGAGTCATTTTTCAGTTGACGAGGAGGATCCCACTTTTGCTTCCTGTAAGTATTGTCAGAAACTTATTGGTTGTAAAACAAAAAATGGCACTACACCTTTAGCAAATCACATTAGTAGGTGCAAAAAATATCCTCCAAATTTGGATAAGAAACAAAAATTGATTGATTTTGAAAGCGAAACGTTGGTAAATGAAGATGGAAGTACTGAAATAGTTAGCGTTCCAAAATGCTGGAAATTTGATCATGATTTGTGTAGAAAGAAGCTTGCTAAAATGCTTATTGTGGATGAATTGCCTTTTGCTTTTGTCGAACGTGAAGGTTTCATTGAATTCTGCAAGGCTTTAAATCCTCTCTTTAAGCTTCATTCTCGTACAACTGCCACTAGAGATTGTTATGCTCTTTTTATTGAACAAAGAAATGAGTTGAAAAATACTTTTAAGAACTTATATTCTAGGGTTTGTCTAACCACAGACACTTGGACATCGGGTCAAAATTTAAGCTACATGTGTTTGACAGCCCATTTTATTGATGATGAATGGAATTTGCATAAGAGGATAATTAATTTTTGTCCAATTGCTGGTCATTCCGGACAACTTATTGGCAGAGCTGTTGAAAAATGCTTGATTGAATGGGGTTTGAAAAATATTATGACTATAACTGTAGACAATGCTAGCTCAAATGATTTAGCAATTGAATACTTGAGAAGAAGACTTACCATTTGGGAGTCTAGTTTATTGGAGGGTCGATATTTACATATGAGATGTGCGTCCCACATTTTGAATTTGATTATGAAAGAGGGTTTGAAAGAACTTGATTTTTCCATTATGAAAGTTCGAACTCTTGTGAGATATGTTAGATCTTCTCCCGCTAGACTTCAAAAATTTAAAACTTGCATAGAAGAGGAGAAAGAGGATAGCAAAAGTCTTGTTACTTTAGATGTTGAAACTAGATGGAATTCAACTTTCCTAATGCTCGAATCTGCTATCAAGTTTAAAAAGGCATTTGCTAGTTTATACATGAAAGACTCCTATTGTTTCAAGGAGCTTAGAAAGGTTGGTGGTGGTCCCATTGAAGATGATTGGAAGAGGGTGAGTAGTTTTTTACCTTTCTTGAGCATTTTTTATGATGTAACATTGAGGTTATCTGGTTCTCGTTATGTTACTTGTAACCATTATGCACACGAGATTTACGGGACTAGATTAATGATTTCCAACATAAGTGATGATGATGAGGGTATTAAGAAAATGGCAGCCCAAATGATGTCTAAGTATGATAAGTATTATGGGAACATTGATAATATCAATATTATGATGTTTGTGGGTGTGATCCTTGACCCTAGGCACAAATTGAATTATGTTAATTGGATTGTGCATGATTCTTATGATGAAACACAAGCCACTCTTTTGTTCCTCAAAATTAAGATGGTTTTGCAATCTTTATTTGACTCGTATGCTTCTTCAATGCCTCCTTCAAAGACAAGTGATATGTCTTCCCCCACTTCTACTTCTTATCTAATTTCACTCAAGGTGGGACTCAACGTGGGGTAAGATTGATCTTCAACAACTTATGGCTTCAAATTTCAAAGGGATACGGGTTGCTTGTAACTAGTGCCAATAAAAATGAGTTGGAGAGTATTTAGAAAGATTGGTTACGCACCTCTCGGTCACCTATTATAATAGAAGAAAGTTTAGTTGCATTGGAAGAGTTGGAGGAAGGTAAGTTTATTTTTATGTTTGATTGCTTCTTTTTTTGTTTATTCAATATTTAAAGTTTTAAACATAAATTTATATTTTAATCTTTTTTATTTTATTTCGTGTGATGTAGCCATGAAGGATCTAACTTTAGAGCAATCGGAGATCATAATTGACGAGACAATTGATACTTTGGATGATTTGTAAAATATGTACTTTGAAACTTTGAAGTACTTAGTGGTCCTACTATCTCTTTTTTTATGTTATTAAGACTTGATACTCTTGTGTGGTATTTTATTTTGAACATCTTGTGTTGATTTGATTGTTGTTGAGATTTGATACTCTTGTGTGATATTTTAATATGAACATCTTGTGAAGATCGGTCCTATTATTTTTCTGCTTTTACTATATTTTTTTAGAAAGACCCGTTATATGTATTTTAATTTATGTTGATTTTTTATGGCATTAATCAAATATTATTATTTTAATATGCAACATGTATAGATTTTTGGATTCTAGCTTGTATTTTACATGGTTCACAAATACATTTGAAGTGGAGCTATTTAATTTCATGGTTTACACAGAATGTTCCAACTCCTTTTAATTTCATGGTTCACAAATATTATTATTTTAATATGCACCGAGTCCTCATTGTTAAATGGGCTAGGCGATAGAACTGAGCAGAATGCATTCAAATATACTGGAATTGCTTGCTTTAATCCAAGTTCCTTCTCAGACGATAACACATTTGTTGCATATAGGCCTTGCAATCAGGAAATTGAGTTTTCAGCCTTGTGAATATCTAAAGTTTATGGCTTCCATATCCTTTAGCATGCTGGAACAAAGAAATGCCATTATTTTCAGTTCTCAATTAAGAAATTGTTATGATTAAATTATTAGTGTGATATCATTTGCAAATCTGCTGTGTTGTAAAGTATCTCACTAGTTCTGTCGGAAGATTGTGAATAACAATGGGATAATTTACGCGTTTAGTATCTAAATTATCAGTTTTAGTACTTAAACTTTTAATTTTATGTTAATTAATGCTTTTATTATGTTGATTTTTTTTTGAATTTTTTGCAAAAAAAAAATTCGGATCCGGATATTCGGATATCCGATCCGAAATTTAGGATATCCGAAATTTCGGATATCCGAATTTTTCGGATCAGATACGGATCATTACTTTAAGTATCCGAAATTTTCGGATATCCGAAATTTCGGATCGGATAATATCCGATATCCGATAATGCACACCCCTACTTGCAATCTATATGTAAACCTAACAATAATAACACATAAATGGAATTCATATCAAACAAAACTAATTCATATATTAATGAAATTCATAAAAGTTATATCAAATGAATAACTTCATTACAACAACAACCAAACATATTATCAATCCAACCTTGTACAACATTGCTTGACTCTTAAACTTTGCCATTTCAATTTTACATGTTCTTAATTGATCTTTGGTCTTCATAAGCTTCTTCTCCAATCTTTCCACTTCACAAACTTTTTTCATTTTCTTTAATTCATTATTTATTTTGTTATTTTATTATTTAAAAAATATTTTATTTTATTTTTTATGTTTTTCTAAAAAACAAATTCCGAAAATAACATGTCTCATGGTGTGTTCTGATTGGTCTGAGATTTTTTAAATGGTTTTAACGATTTAGAGCAATTGGAGTAACAATTTTTTTAGGGGCAAAATAATATAAAAAATATTTTAAGGGACAATTCGATAAAAAAGATATAGTTCGGGGAAATATACATTTAAGCCTTTATTTTAATTTATTTCTGAATATTTTACTAACAAAATTAAATCACATCAACGTCAATCAAAACAATAAATATTTCCTATACGAATATGGTAGGATATGTTTTACAATCCTTGGGAATAAAAATGAATCTGTAATATGAATTGGTATCTTTATTCTTATATTAATTAATTTTAAAATTACTCTTTCCGTGTTCTTATAATGAGCCGGCGAATAATTAATGCTTAGTTAAGCTAAGCTACTCGACTTAAGTAAAATCTACAGGATAAATCACACGTTTACTTACTGAATTTTTTTTCTTTATCTTATTTCACTTATTGTAGTTTTGATTTTTTTATTGAATTTTTTAGTTACTCGACTGTTAAATTTTTAATGATATTAAATTAAAATTAAAAAAAAATTAAAAATGTAATGAAAAAAAAGTAAAATTTAGTAAGTAAATATGTGACATGTTTTATTATGAAAATGTAAATATCACGTTATTGAGTAAACGGTGAAGTGATAAAAAAATTTAATATATAAAATTTAATGAAAAATTGAAAAATTGAAAGTAAGGTGAAAAAAAATAAGAGAAACCGTGTAATTTACCTAAACGAATAACACATTTAAGAAATACTGAAATAAGCGAAGGCCAAAGCGAATCTAATTCTAAGCCTAATTTCTCACTTTCCTCTCACTACAAACATGCAAAGACAATCCTTAGGCTCTCCTACATCCAAGCTCTACATCCATGGAGGAGAAGAGATTACCGGTGCTGATGATCACAAACGCCGAATAATCATCGACGGCGAGGATCGCAAAGACAGTAAACCTCGCCGATTGTCGTTTTCGCAATCTTCGCCGTCGTTGCCGTCGCCTCCTAAGTCTGAGAAGCTCATTCATCTCATTCCTGTTCTCACTCTCCTTTGCATCCTCATTCTTTACCTTAATTCTCACAGTCCTTCTCAATCTGGTACGTTTTTCGTTTTCTCCGACAGCCATAATAATTAACAGGCTAGGTTATTCAAGTGTGATCTACATCTTTTATTCTTATGTTTTTGTTACAGATTTGGAAGCTTTTAACGGATTCAAGCATTCCCCAAAGCATTTAGGTATAATGTAGCTTCAGCTCACCTTTTCTCTTTTTAGTTATTGTGTTTTCGGTTTAGCGACTTCTTTTGTTGCTTATCTCGTTTTATGCTTTCGTTATTCACAGATTCACGCGAAATCGGCTCTTTAGGCCGATTTATGGAGATTCAGAAAGGCGATGTTTTGGCTATTCGAAGCCAAAGGAATTTGCAAGAACTTGATAAGTACGTTTGGAAGCATCGTCCTCACCGGAAAATCGCCGATTTCTAGGCGGCGGCCTCGAGTTTTTCATCGATCGGTTTCTCTCTCGCTCGCTCTCTCTATCTAACGATTCTTGTGTTCGTTCATGCTCTAGCTGACTTTAAGCCAGCACGTGCAGGTCATACTTGCACGTGAGAGGCATTTTTTAGTTGAACGTGTAAATTGAAAATTTGTTGGCTAGTGAAGCAAATATCTTAGCTGCCGCTACGTGTGTAGCTCCTGGTCAGTCGTTTTATCATCCTTGTTCACATTAATTATATTTTAGTCATAGAAAAAAATAAAAATTGAAAAACTTTGAGAACCATTGTTTTCAAAATTTCAAAATGGCTAATGTACGCCTCGTGGGTGTGGTGTATGTTAGTGAGGGAGTAACTAAGGGTGGAATCCAGCTGGAAATTCGGACCGTTTTTTCTCCTCGTGATGCGGTTGGGGATGCCAGCTAGAAAGTTGTACTAATCACAGAAACCTATTAACTGCACCAGCGGTGAATATCTTTGGCCTTTTACATAAAAAACGCTTAAAAATTCGTTTATTGTACTAACACCTCTCATAGGATGATCTCCACGTAGGATGATCTCGTTTTGTAAAAATTAAGGGCAAACTTTTCGTTTTAGAAAGTAAGTTTTATGTATTTATTATTTTATTTAAAAACTTAATTAATTTCGTATATAATAAAATATGAGATTCATTAAACTTATTTTGTAATACGTGGGATTATTATACGTGTGTAGTTTGGGAGATATATTTAAAAAAAAACCGGTTTTAAAGGTATTGATCCAATGATGTAGTTTTTTTATATAATAATGTCAATTTCTTTACTCTTGATTTCTTGGTTTTTCTATAACGCGTGTAATTAAAGTGTGTTTAATTTTTTTCTTATAAAAAACCACTTGTTAATTTTAGTGGGTTTTTGATGAATTTTAAGATTCTGTTGATGAAGAAAGCAATGCTGTATGAATTATACACGTGTCAAAAGTTGAACACAATGTTAAATCAACAACAAAAGTTGTCCAATTGGCTCAATTACCTTGTATTCCCTCTTTTCTCTTTGACTTTACTGTTTGGTAAAAAATCATAATAATTGGTTTAACAATTGTTTTGAAAATCGGACCGGTCGGTTCAACTAGAAACCGTGTGTTAGTCCGGTTCAATTTAAATCGGTTGAATCGTTACTAGTGAACCGATCAGAATCGCTACTAGTGAATCGGTTAGAACCGTTGAATCGTTCGAACCGGACCGGCTGAAAATCGGAAAAAGCCAGAAATTTTGTTTTTTTATAAAAAAAACAAACCAAACAATATCGTTTGTTAAACGAGCCAAGTCGAACTCGAGTATTGTTGAGCTCGACTCGAACTTGAAAACTTTAAAAGTAAGTTCAACTCGACTCAAAGTCAAGCTAAATATTATCAAGTTCAATTCAAACTCGAAATATAATATTGAAACTTGAACTCAAAAAGGTTTGAACTAAAAAAAATTTAGAAGCCTAAAATTCGAGCTTGATTGAAGTGAAAGAATAGTTCACTCAATGCTCACCAAAAGACTCTATGATTTTAAATGTCAACTTACCTCTATTATTTATAGAAGTTAGTTGTGATGCTCTTCTATGTTTCTTAGCAATATGAGATTGTTTTGTTCTCATATTTTCTCTTTAAACTTTTGGGATGCCCTTCTATGTTTCTTAGCCATGTGAGATTGTTTTTAAAAAAAATAAAACCAAACAATATCATTTTATTATGATTTTTTTAACCCCAAATTTATTTTTTAATTATAGTTATATAATTATATTTATTATTTAATATATGTTACCATAATATTATGTTGTAGTTAATTTGAATCATTTTGTTTCACTTGATTTTATGGTTTTTAACTTATATATGTTATGACTTACTTTGAATATGACTTGTGATATAAAAAAATATTTTTTATTAAATATTTTTGGTATTTTTATTTAATTTTTTAAATAATTATTACGTCGTCCGGTTCTTCAGACCTGTCGGACCGATTCGACCGGTCAATCGATAATATAACCGATTTACTAACCGATCTGATTCTGAAAACCATAGGTTTAACGTTAGAAAGTTAATTCTTTTTTTGTGTTCGTGAAAATGAAACGAACGGAGCTATCAAATTCCCATTACTATAAGTCATCAAATTCAAGGGTTTGCTTGTTTTCGTTTAAACGCGTCTGCCATTCAAAGCAGGATTGACATGAGATTGGGTTTAATTGGATTTTTTTAAGAATAATAATAATTTCTTTAATCATCGAAATAATTTGATTAATTTAATTTAATTTTAATTTTCAGTTAGTCTGAATTGTAAACTAAGAAGTTTTTTTTTAAGAAATTTGTAATATTGTATCATGCGTACTCAACTTTTATATGAATGAAGATAGGATAATTCTTACTTTTATATAACCTCCTAAAAAATAATTTGTGTTTCATTTTTTAAAAAATTTTGTCCCTTCACTTTTTGGTAAATCAAACGGAAGGAATAAGAATATTTGGATATGAGCTTTGGACCTCATTTGAATCTCGGCATCCATTTCGGTCATATTTAACATCATTGGTTTGGTTGAACTGTAGAATTATGAAATTTAGGGGCTGTTTGTTTACTTCAGAATGATTAAGCGCTGAATGATTTAGAGACTCTGTATGAATTAGCTTTGAATGTGACATGTTGTTTAATAATGACTCTGAATCATTCAGAATGTACTTTGATGCTGGAATCATTCAACACTGTTTTGTTGAATCAGTCAACACTGAATCATTCAGAGGTGAGAAACAAACACGCTAAATGTTGAACGGTTTAGCATTCAGCGCTAAATGATTCCATTCAAAGCCAAACAAACAACCCCTTATACTAGTGAATTTTATAATATTGTATTATGCGTACTCAAATAATTCAATTTAAATAATATTTTTTTAAACAATATCTATTTATATTATGTATGTAAAAATGTGTTTTATTTGTTTTATTTTTTAAAACTACAATTGATATGATGTATTTTTTTGCATGATAAATTTAGTCAATAAATTAGAATATTTTAGTCAAAAAAATAGAAATTTTTTTAGCAAAAATGTTTTTTTCTTCAAATAATGATATTTTATTTAAGTGATTGGAGTTTATTTTAATAACTATTGAGTTTTGGGTTCAAACCTCATTACAAGTATTTTTATTATTTTTTTCTTACTTATAAGTATTTTACTTAAATATATTTTCATGATAAACCTTATTACTGTTGTAACACTCATAACCCGTATACGTATTGGAATACGAGTTAAAGATGTCACATTAACATTATGAAACTTTCTTTGTACATAAAGCTTTAAAATTTCGTTGCATTTAAAACTATTTACTTAATCACGTAAAAACATAAAATAATATATTTATCTACCATTTGAATATGATTTTAGGCAGTGACTAGGCACTTCAATGCTGTTTCTCAACATATATAAAACTACCAAAATACTGTCTAATTTAAAATCATTCAATTTCCCTTAAAATTATATTTACTAACGACCATTTTAAGTTATTCGATCAGAGCCGTTCAAGCATTTATAACACACATGCCAATAATGAGTGAAAAATGTCTTACTGATACTATAGGTTGGATTGATTTCCCAAGAAGAGATTATCTGAGTGCTCCTTGAGATGCTCTCAGTGCTCCTTACTTCACGTATGTTTCTTTATCCAAACCTACACATGAAACTCCTCATGCACTATGTAATACTTAGTGACACAGTAACATAACTAAGGTGAGATAAAACGTAAATATCATAAAGTATTATAAAACCTAAATATGTAATTTAAATAAAAACATTGAAACTTTCAAACTGAGCTATACAAGACGATTTCCTCTTCAAAAACCTGAAAATCACTATGTAACACCCCCAATCCATACCCGACCCTGATACAAAAATGAGGTGTCATATTGACTTTTCATCACTTTGACTCTTTGAAAAGCTGAGTAACATTTTGACTTTTTACTTTTATTGTAGTGATGAAGCCCTCATTAACACTAGTTAAAATCGAAATTAATATTAAACAATGAAACAAATATTTAATATATTTACATAAACCTTAATTAGTATAGTTACCAAACAGATCAGAGCATTTGCGATTTAAACATTTGTAGTACATGAAAACAAAATCTAAAATAGTAAAATCACTTATTGTTCAAATCGATCTGATCTTCTCCAAAGGTTTATTGTCCAAACCTACCTTTACTCTTCTGACTTCTTTGAACCTACTTGTGAAAACACTCACACGCTAAGTCTTTGACTTAGTGAGGCATAAATGAGCATAATAAAACATTAAAAACACTTTCTTAAACATTTCAGAGAAAACATTGAATACGGAAAACAAGATACATTTCATATAAATACAATATTGTTATGCACTTTTCAATCCTATCAAATAGACTTGTGAAAACACTCACACGCTAAGTCTTTGACTTAGTGAGGCATAAATGAGCATAATAAAACATTAAAAACACTTTCTTAAACATTTCAGAGAAAACATTGAATACGGAAAACAAGATACATTTCATATAAATAACATATATTGTTATGCACTTTTCAATCCATATCAAATAGTTTAATTAGCCCAACGCATATCACTGAGAACTCAAGGTATGTGACTACTTTGAGGTTGTGCACTGTAATTGCAGTCGAAACTGAAGGACCACATAGAATTATCCTGAAGGACCGCGTAGAACCCTCGACTCTTGGCATGCGAATTATACCTCTAATTCTCATAACACATACTTTGGGCTTTAACTATATAAGTATTCATATAGCATTATTCACATGATCATTTATTCACATAGAACACATATACTCATAGTAATGAAATAAAAACATTGCTCCTGAAATACAATGTAGATAAAACATTATAAAGATATTTCATAAAATAATTCAAATTATTTTCGATCGAAAGTTTTCGAGGTTGGCTTATCGCAAGCCGTCCTCATATCAAATATAAAATAAATAAGTAGCACTCACCTTTGCCTCACTTAAGCCCTAAGCAAAATACTTTTCACTTTCGCTCAATCTCTTTACTACTTCGAGTCGTTTGATACTTGCTTTCGATAACAATCTACACGTTAACATGATCAAAATGAATACTGGAGCTCAAATAATTATTAACCAATCATCATTTACATAAACTAAATAAAACACCTAATTCACAATTTCAGGCTGAA